ATTATTATTATTATTATTATTATTATTATTATTATTATTATTATTATTATTATTATTATTATTATTATTATTATTATTTGAAGACCTGGGTCACCATTTGTTTTCACTGCTGTTAAGTACTGCAGTGTATGTCAGAACTGTTCCAATTCAAGTTCCATTCTAAAATTAATGATACATTTGTACATTGTACTTCATGCATAATTATTGAAGTCCACTTGATAATGATTTGACAAAAACAACAAAACCTACTACCTTTAGCAAAAACCTCTGTTTTCAGCATAAAATCTATGAACAAGCACAATGAAAAAAAAAATACTAATGAAACAATCAATTGTACAAACTTTTGTACATAGCTTTCTAACACAGGGCAATAAATAATTACAGCTTCAATTTATAGGCTAGGTATTAATTACAAGTTTTATCTGCTCATCTGAGACAATACCTCTTGGTTCTACTACAGTTAGCTCCGTAATCACTTAAAATATGTCTCCAGATTTGTACCTGGATGCAAAATCCTTACCACAGACAAATGATACAACTGTACATTACGTAATTTTTCCCCAGCAATAATTTAACCAATTTGATAACTACTAGAGCAAGAGTTTAAACTTTTCCAATTTGACTCCAAGCAAGCATCAGAATGTCACGTTTCTCTTTAGGAAACCTCAGCTCCCGCCCACTAAGACGGCATTGTTCTAACTCTTTACAAGCCTTGTCGAGTTCCCTTTTTATCAACCCTTGTTGTTCTTGTTCACGGGAAATCCAGTCCAACGCCATTTGACTCCTCATCTCATCATCAATAGTTCTATCAGAATAATGTTCCAACACTTCCTGCCGAGAACAGTTTCTATCGCGCATGGCTTTTAAACTCCCATTCCAGTGCAATAACTGGAATATTGTCATTAGATCTTGGAACTCCAGCATGCTCTTTCCCTTGTTTGATTCCAGCATAAAGCGGAATGCTCCAACACCAGTGTTGGGATCTTTAGAGCTGTCTGCTGTCAGATTTATTGTTCTTCTCTTCAGAGCAACTTGCATTTCTGTTGACTCGGCTTCTTTGACAGCTGATTCCACAAATTCATCTGTAATTTTTCTGTAAGGAAAAAGGTACAGTAATTTGTAAATTAATAGCTGAAATTACAGAGTGGAACTTTAAGTAGTTCTTATTACAGTGATTTGGTGAAAGGGCATTTTCCCCTTTTATGTAACATATGCCAGGACACAAAATGTATGTACTCCTTTGCTAATTTGCTCTTACTCATTTATGTGTAAATACCATGACCATACAGTGTACATCTTTCTCACTCATGGTGACCACTCGTGAAGAAAACAAAAGTCCATGTCTTATTGTGGTACATACTGTACGTGTATGTAAAATACTTTAAATTAAAGTATCTTACATACATGTATGGTATGTACCACGATAAGACATGGACTTTTGTATACATGAATTCCCCCCCACCCCCCAAAAAAATTCATGTACCAAACATCTATTGGTACAAATACATGTACCTTGATCTCAATGGGAAACAATCTCCTTGTCATATGTTTAATGTATAACAGATCTTACTATAGCTGATACAGGTAGGAAAGGGAAGGAAAATGAAAATATATGCAGTAGAATTCTCAAACAATCTATTTTGTTTGTAATCACCTGGAAGGATGTTCATTAAACACAGAGTTCATCAGTGCAATCTTTGCAGCACTCCTTCTAGCCTCGGCTTTAGTTGGACATGGTTGAAAACTCCCAAAACTGCTTCCTCCAGGCAAACTTACATAACAGACGTACGGTGGCTTCTCCGATGACTCAGGCTCGTATAGGATAGTGGAACCACCCTTCATGGGAGCTCCACGGGATTCTTTCATTTGCCAAAACTCCTGCAATGCTTCTATGACATTTACTACAAGAACAATATTACAATTAACATCTTGTAAGTTAAGAATCATTTCTAATGACACAATGATTTATTGCTAAATATTTTTTAAGAACTAAAACATGGTTGCCAGTGGTAAACATCACATAAACTTCGCAATCACCTCCTTTTATACATGTAGCATACTAAGTCTAAAAATAGCTTACATTAAGTGTACTATTTATCACATTATGGATGACATCGCCTGCAATTACAGTCGCTTCTCATCACTTCCAGCCACATTTAGCATTTCAAGAGAAAGAAATACCACACCCATGAAGGAACAATAAGAGGTGACAGACTATATGCATTACATTTCCTACACTGTGTACATGTATGTGTTTTTTTATCTTACATATGGTGCTCTAAGCAACAACCAAGTCAGTCCCCATCACAATTAAGCAAGGAAAAAATGATTTTTAAAATTACTTCCTCCTTTCAGGCCTGAAAAAAAATCCCTTTTCCTTTAATCATTTTTCTTACCTAATGTTTACAAAAAGAAGCAAATTTTCTATTAAAACTAATAATACACTACTTGAGGTGTCACAATCTCGTAAATTTTTTATGGGCAAAATGGATGGTGGAATGTCCACTGAAAATGCTCATCTCAGAGCTAGCACATGTATTTCAACATGTTATTTGGTATTTTTCACATTAAACATTTGACAACATTTACACATGGAAGCCCTTTGTGCTAATGCTCTGAAGTGGAAAATTCCAAAAATACAAAGAAAAAGAAATAATAGACCCAAAGAGGACAGAAATAACCCAATTTCTGTGTAGAAAAGAAAAAACAAAAACTTTTCAGAAAGCCACTGAAGCCCTTGGTATTCCTTAAGCCGTCTGTACATTGATCATTGTTGTGCTTATCAGTGCATTTGCTGGCTTAACTTATTTTTGCACTAGTTGTTCTTTTGCTTTGGGTGTCTTTCTCCTAGATTGGTTTTCAGTTGAGTGTCAGGCAATTACATTTACTTCGATTTTGGTTTTACTACTGCAGTTTGAGATTGGCTGAGTAGTCTAATTACAGTATGTGATTGGTTTGGTTTTGGTTTTACAACACTCAAATGAAAACTGCTCTAAATGCCACATGTATAGCAAGATAGAAAACGTACTGATTGATAAATTTGTTATTGGCCCCCTGAACTAACTTAGTAATTGTAATATATGTGATGCAAATGTTAATCAGCAGATAATAACCACTTACTGTATAAATACCCGAGTGACATAATATTTCCATGGATGCACTACAGCTCTTATCTTAAACATTTTATATCCCAAAAATTCCCTCGTGCAGTGAAAGGCCCATTGGCACAAGTTTAAGCATATTTTTGTATCTTTTTCAAAAACAGATTCCAGCCATTCTTTTAGAAGTGCAGACAATATTTTTTTAGCCCATATATTTTAAGTGTTACCATTAACTTCAAAACTGTCATTGCCTTGTGTGCACCTCAGAGCAGAACAATTTTTCATCAGTTACAATGTAACTAATTCAAACAAAAGAAATTGACTGCTGCTTGCACTTGACAACTTCAAAGACTGAATGTGAAAAACAAACCAAGCTAGCTAGTCACCAGGACTTTTCAGTCCATAAAAAGACTTCATCTATCATTTATTAGTGTAAATCTACTAGCATTCTATCACGAATGCTGTTCTCTGATTGGCTACACTACTCACTATCGATTCTGTGATAGATAGTGAGTAGCCTAGCAGTGTGCCCTTGTTAACGAAATGATGGCCGCTTCTTGGTGTTTTCAAAGTCTGTGAAGACAATTTAGATAAAGTTTTGACCAACTAGTAGATTTATACTTAAACAATTATTAGATTATTCACTCTCGATTTCTATGCGTGATAGTTGACTTGAGCTGCACCCTCATCAGTTATCACACGATAGAAATCTCAAGCTAATAATCTAATTGCTCAATATATAGTTACACTCTCTAATTTGGAAGTGATTAAAAGCTGGTGAGAAAAAACATTGAAATCCAATGAACTTTAAAATAAAATCTTATAATTTAGAGCTAACTGATACGTGTATCTGAAAATGCTGGCACCAATAATTTGTTTGTGACTGTACAAAGGGTCCTATAGTACCACTTCCACCTGACTTCTTCCGTTTGTCTTAAATTACGTAATTTGGTGTACAGAGCATTTCCTGCCTTCAATTGTACTGTAACCATAGCAACTCAAAATAATATCAACCACAAAATGGAGATGATTCCTAAGATAAACTTTCTAGAGGTTTCAGATAGTTGATTGCCATTTAAATTAACCCTAAAAGTATTGGTGAACTGGCATGGTATGTTAATGATATCAGCAATGTGATAGGTCACTCAGAAACTTCAAAAAAAGAACAAACCATAAGACAAGTTAACTTACATCCCAAATCTCTAAAAAAAAATCTTACCCTTGAATTCTTCCTTTTGTCTTAATTATGGCATGTCAAGGAATTTGGTGTGCAGAACATTTCCTGACTTCAATTTTAATCTGCCCATATTATCAACTCAAAATAATATCAGCCACAAAATGGAGATGACTCCTTTGATAGACTTTCTATAGGTTTCATGTAGTCTCCTCATCAATTAAATAAACCCTAAAAATATTGGTGACCTGGCATGGTATGTTAATAATATCAGCAATGTGATAGGTTATTCAGAAACTTCAAAAAAGAGAACAACCCAATTACAACAAGTTAGCTTCCTCTTAAATTCCAAAGTGTCAAGTAATCACATGATGAACTCCACGTGAAACGAATATTATTGAGTAGAAGCTTCTACAGTGTAGCAAGCTTGCATGAAAATAACTCTACATGTACTTTTGAAAGATTTTTGCGCCTAAACAGAAGCTTAAATCAAAGCAGTTCGTCAAACTGGTCTACAAGTATTTGAAAAGATCTGGTAACAACACAAACATCATTGTCATTCAAGAATGAAACACGAATCCTTTCGTCGACATTTTGAGATTTCGATCGATAGTGATATATGTCTAGACTTGCGATTTCCAGGCTGACCGATCTCGTGCAACTTCGCAGAAAAAATAAAGTTAATAGAATATTGCAGATGATGGCGGCGTCTTTGATATTGTAATCACTAATAAAGTGCGGTTAAGATTGCAGCGATTGACGTTTTCTCGTTGCAGACCATGTTCAATATTCGATTGAGTGAGAAGCGATGTAATTTCCGGATCAAGGTGGCGTTAATACGCCCAGGAGAGGGATAACTTCGTACTCATCACAAAGCAAGATTTTGAAAATTAAATGTTAAACAAGTTTTTCATTTGACCTACTTCTCGGATAATTGTAACAGGTCATTTGAAACTATAAACGCAGCGGAATAAAACAAAAAGCCGAAAAGAAAAGGACATTCATGACTCATTCTATTTGGAAATTCAACTGTAAACATCAAATCAAAACTATAGAAATCTATCCCCACGAAATATTAGATATTTGGTTTTCAACAACCGGAATAACTGCAAGTTTGAAGACAATTGCTACGTCGTTACGTGTAATCTCAGTGAAAACACTAACGAAAGCCAAACAGTACAAATGTTCGTGAGCCGTGTCGTTGTTTGTAGATGATTAGGAAGGTTTGGATAACTTTTAGCTTACCTCTGCCATATCCATGCGTGTGTTTAGCAAATGAATTGAGCACAGCATCAACAGCTTCTTTTAACACTGATTTCGCCGGATGAGTTCCGTCTGAACCGCTTGGCACATTCGCATTTATTGTTCGTTCCTCCTGAGTTGCCGCCATGTTGACGATCGAAAAGCGTGGACTGCACGGAAATTACGGGTTTCTTTGACTAGAAGATGAACCTGTAGCTTGCATGTTTATGCTGTTATTACTCCACCATGGCTGTGTACTCCGTGAAGCTACCAGCTGTGCGTAGAAACGCGGTGATGACAACTACGAAGAAGCGATGAAACGCCTTCAATAAATGTCGTCCTTCCACGGATCAACGCAAACCTCCCAAGCGTAACGTTTTTACGGGGTAGGAGTGGGGCTCGGTCTTAGTCCGTCGCATTGTAAATTGTGGGCGCCTGGAATATTCTGTCAGTTGTTTGTCGCGGGTTGAAAAAGGTATTTGGCATTAAAGCTTATTTTATAAAATGTTACATTAACTGTCGTCTTAGCATTTCCATGTCTGTTCGAGTCTGTAGTCGGGACGACCTGATCGGGTGCAAGATTTTGGCTTTGTGTTTTTCATCTGACCGTTCCACGTTCATGCCTTCTTTACATGGAACTGTTTTTTGACCTTTTTTGCCATTGACCTGATTAATCTCCAACCAGGTTCCTAGGCGAGTGAGAGGTATTTTTGATGCAAATACCAATCCTATTTTTGTGAGTTTAAAAAGTTTAAAACATTCTGATCAAGCTTCAACTAGGTAAAGTTATATACCAGAGAGTTATATACCTAGACAAAAATCACCTTCTTCCTGAAAGTTTCAAATGACGTTTTTACTAAACTACCGGACGTACATAAATACAATACTAGAACTAAGAATTCCGTCCGTTTCCCCTACTTTAGGGCAAACGTAAGGAATTCTTACTCCGTTTTGAAGGCCCCAAATCATTTGATTCCGTCTCAGCACTGAAGTTCAAAATGCCTCTAGTATCGCTGTGTTCACCTCTAAACTGAAGCCATGACTTCATTGGTGCAGGTACACTTTACTTCTCTTGGTGTGCTTTTTTGTACTTTTTTTTTTTCGCGTTTTCTTTGCTCTTGTTTTGTCGTAATTTGCTTTTTNTTTTTTTTTTTTTTTTTTTTTCGCGTTTTCTTTGCTCTTGTTTTGTCGTAATTTGCTTTTGTGCATTTGCGTGTTTAGTTTTGTTTAACTATTTTGTTTTGTTTTTTGTTTTGTTTTTTTTTTATCCTTGTCTTTAATTATGATCATCTTGTGCGCCGATGACAGAATATCCATTCTTTATTCTTTTTTATTATATAAAAGTCAGTGGTATACCGAGTGATAACAAATCGATAAAAACAATATGATATCCTCACAAGTGAAGATATCATTTTTGATAACATTTCTCTTTTGTCCCTTTAAGGTGACTCCCTAGAGTAATTACGAACACCCTCCCTATAGA